TTTATATACTTGTAAAGAACTAAAATCAGGAAGTTCCGTAAATATATAAACGTACGGCAAGTTTGATTTATCGGTTATTTGCAGTGGGATACAGCAGGACAAGAACGATTCCGTACAATTACCTCCAGCTATTATAGAGGTGCTCATGGTATCATCGTTGTATATGACATTACGGACCAGGTTACTTTATATAATATTTACTTTAATGTCATCTATTTATTCACAATATAGTCCAGTATAAAAGCCAAAATTGGCTTTTAAAATTTATCCTTTGCAAAATTGGCTTTTAAAATTTATCCTTTTTTTATTCTGGTTGCTACCATTGGAAGAGACGACTTGGGATAAAGGTGGTTTAATGAGATAGATCCGAGGACGGGTTTTTTATGCATATGAAAAATTTTATTATAGGAGTCATTCAATAATGTGAAACAGTGGCTACAGGAGATTGACCGGTATGCATGTGAGAATGTCAATAAGTTGCTTGTTGGAAATAAATGTGATTTGACAACCAGAAGGGCAGTCGAACAAAGCGCTGCCAAGGTTTCTTTTTTTATTCTGCATTTTACGAAAAACGATCTTGCAAAAAATGAAAAATTGGAAAAAAAAAAGGGTTGAAGGGTTATACTTTTACATACGTCATATTTGATGTTTGGGTGCTAATATGAGTTTTTTTTTTTCTTTTCACTAATTCTGCTTTGAATTCCTTTTGATAAAGGGGTTTTTTTTTTTGATTTCATGTCAATTGTTTTTAGCTATCCATTGCTGATAACAGCTGTTTGTTTACCCTGCAAGAAAAAAAATTCCTTGCTAGCATTTAAACTTGAGTTCCTTAATCTTCTGCCGGGGCATTTTTTTCTTTTGGGCGAAATTGCATAAGTCATTATTAACATATTTATTTCTCACATGGAACAAATTGCCAGGCTTTTGTGCATCATTGAGTGAAAGAATGTTTGGAGAAGTTCCAGGTTGTTTTCACTGCCATTGAAAAGGGATGCTTTTAAAAGATTTTGAAATTAGAGAATTTATTGCTATCGCAGTTACTGCTGTTCATTGTAAAGAACATGGGTATTTCTGTAAAACCTTCCCAATAAATTTTGACCTAGAAAACACGGGTGCTTTATGGAAATTCTAAAAACTTATGACACTTATTTGCTTCGACGAGCGCGTTAAGCCAAATTGTTGCATTAGCAGTATGCTACAATATGTGGGAAAAAAATTCAAAGTCTCGATATTTTAATGTACTTTTGATTAATTGTATTTACTGCATGGGATACTGAAGAGACATCCAAATTGTTCGGTGCTATACAGATGTACTGTGATTAGATGTTTTTCTAGATTCTAATAATTATCTTATCTCAATGCTGTGAAATCTCAAGAATTAATATTTGAATATTAATTCGGTTAATTATAGTTAATTTGAACAAAATGATTGTTTTGAGCTTGCATATGAGAATGCAAGTATCACTTTGGAAAAGTTGAATAAGATAACAATTTATTTATTATAATTAAAGTAATTTTCAATGGAATTATAAAGATTGTCTGGTAGATTGGCTCAAATAGATTGGCTGATTAGTCTTTAACATTTACTTCAGTTAAATTCGCACCCTATCTGCTACCGACAATTTTGATTGAAATAAATGTTTGAAGATTCTTGCAGTTGGCATTGCAATAACTTTTTCGGTCAATCTTCATAGGATTTTGTTTGTAACTAAGGCTTTTTGGCACTGTGATTAATTTTTCTAAGCCAAGAAAAATTGATTAGCAGAGATTAATGAGATAAAGTCTGAGAGAGGGAAAAAACGGAAGCAAAAAAAGACGAGGTGGAAGCGTCTCGTGTGCTCTGCGGTATTGGAAGTTTCTGTTTCCAAAACTACTGACAGATTTTTATGTCTTCTTTCTGAAAATAATGTATTTATCCATTTCTTATAGTTAACCTGTACTTCGATAAGCAAAACTGAGATTTGATTTTGTTATAGGAATACGCTGATCAGTTGGGGATTCCGTTTTTGGAAACATCCGCGAAATCATCAACGAACGTCGAGCAGGTAAACGGATTTTTCTTTTTACGTTACAGACCCGTTGCATCGGAATACATTCAACTATATAAGAACAACAAATCAACAACTGGTGTACATCGGGCGTTAACTATATGATTACACAAATGTATTCTGTTGATGATACTTAGTTATCACAACTGCTTTTTTAAGGCATTTTTAACAATGGCATCCGAAATAAAGAACCGAATGGGCCCAGTTCAACAAGTTGGTACAGGGCCATCAGTACGTATCGGGGGATCTCAGCCAGTGAATGAAAAGAAGAGCGGTGGTTGCTGCTGAGAGTTGTTGAAATATTTCTTTCTTTTAAATGACTGTGTTATCTATTCCCTATATCTTTTAGACAGTCAAAAAAATACATTTTTCAACTTTTCATCCAGAATATTCCTTCTATTTCTCTTTTTCCTTCAAACTACTTTTCAGTTACTTTTTTTTGTTGAAAAAAACGTAAGATTTCTCATTACATTGATTCAGCTGTGATGTGAGTTTATTTTGTTTTACTTTTCTTATTGGATTGCTTTTTTCGGAATTTTCCTTAGTTTTTCCTGCTATCGAAACTCGATATTATTGGTTTAGTTAAATACTGTTTATTTAACAGTATGTGACAGTAAATTCTTGTTATTAGAGAATAATAATGAATTTTTGAGATGACTGCTTTGGAAGTAGGCGTCTCGTTTTGTCATATTTTAATTGCGAAAACACTGTGATGGAAAGGGTTTTACTGCGACTGATAGCAGATTTTATTATTGCTTATAAACGAATTTCATTCTGGTCTTCCTAATCAAGTTCGGGGGTTCTTTTAGGCTTTTCTTGAGAGTTTTAACACTGTGATCATGTAACGATTGTGACGTTGTTCGACTTAGAAGTCCTATATTTCATCGTTTGGAAATGATGTGTTCAGTAGACGGTTCATAGAGAACCCTCGCAATCCTTCCCTTTTCTATCTTATCATTTTTTTCCATTCTTATAATACGGAAACAAATTTTTAATCACCAATTACTTTCAAGCATGTCATTGATCCATGGCTTTAAAAACCAGTTACAGTTTTTGCCGAAAAATGAAAGGTTTGTAGATGCATTCAGTTCTTCTTTTCTGCCCTGAAGTCACTAAAAAACAGTTGTCATTGTGGCATGAATGCATTCAAATTATCATTATTTCACCATATAGTTTCACAATATCATCGCTTGCCCAAAAAATCGTTTTTTCTTTAAATTTTGTTTTTTGTGGGGTTCTTTTCCCAATTTTATAAATTTATGTTAAAATCTCTCTCTTTAGCTGAAGTAAATTTTTTTCATATGATGCATATTGTCCAAACATTAATCGTCATTGGTATAGCCGCTATAGTGCACATACACAGTATGGTGGAATTTAATTAGTAGTGGTTCTGAATTTCTTTTTGTAAATTTAATCAACAGTATCATGTTTCAATGCTAAAAGCTGTTGAGCATGATGTACTGCTGATTGCTCTGAGAGGTTGCGAAGTTACATTCAGTTTTCCTTAACTACCGAATACCTTTTCTGAGTCTTTTCTAGTATACTAAAGATGGCGGTGAATATTCATTGGCTGGTACGAGCTCATCTTAACTATATCATATAACTTTAATGGTAATGGTAGTAATAGCATGACTGGTAGGGATGTATATACTTTGTTAGATTTTTAAAGACATCAACGGTTGTATCAAAGAAGATCAAATTCAAGATCGCATATCAGCATTTTCGGTTTGTCATTTTGTTTAGTTATGGCGACTTTTTTTAATATCGCTATCAATGGTAGATTTATTGATCATAGGAATATACCAAGTTTTTGGAAGTTTCTGAACACAATTGGATGTACGAAAAACAGGTCAATAAAGGTACGCTACAAGTTCGGTTGATGTGCTTTGTCATAGGATCTCCTAAAAAAGAACTGGAAATGAGATCCTACAGATTATTTCACTTTTACATGGATTATCGTTTTCGTTCACTACAACCATGGTATTTTCAAATTCTAACAATTTAACCATGACGGTGGCTCTAACTTCATTTCTTCACTTTTCATACAAAGCTGCTACTTCACCAGTTTCAGTTTGCAAATGTTTTAGATTGACCGTTCTATTGTCATTAGAAAAAATGCTATATGCAAATATAACAGAGGCATCCAACCGAATACAAAAAATAACGAAATTGGTGAGGATGTTTTTGATGTTGATGCAGAACAAGTGTTTTTTTGTTTTGTCATTGTACCGCGAAAAGAGATTTCCGAGATCTTTTTTCTATCGAATTCTAAAATTCTAATGAATACTGAGAAAAACAGCTTTTAAATTGATAACACAGTGAAGTGAAAGAATGGAAAAAAAGTCGGTGATATTGCGAGCGAGATTGAAAAGGGGCTGAAGGTAGGAAAGATCTCACTGAGAAAGGGTTGGATATTTAGACATGTCAAGGGGAAAAAGTGAATAGTAGTATGGGAATTTATTTGAAAACAGGAAAATGAAGACAGTTCATTCTATTCATTCACTTTTTCCTTTCAATATCTTAATATTCAAAGTAGGACGAAGGCGAAAGGACGAAAGAACTAGATATGACAGAAAAAAGAGGCGTCGCGGATAAGCGAGACGGAATTCGTCAATTACCCCTGGATTTCTAAGTGCTCGCTGAAGTCTTACTTTAAATTTTATAATAGAAGCGGTTATTCAAATTCATTTCTTATAGAATCGGTAATGATATGATTGCGTTTGGTACCACCGGTACCATCAGTGTTATAGTAATAGCAAGTGTTGTTGAGGTACCGTTTATCATAAAATACGTGTTTCAAACTTTGGACTATTTGTTTCCTGATAGTTGTTAAAACATATTCATTCTTTTCGAAAGGACAAATCTTTCCAGCTACTTTTTTTTTTTTTTGTATCAATCAGCGAAGAAAATAATTTGTCATTGTACAGTGTAGATGACGATATCATCAGCACAGTGTTTTTGGTTTATTTTACTGTTGCAAGCAATCGAGCATTCAAAACCGTGTGCCGATATAGTTTTTGTTTTGGATGGTTCCGGTAGCGTCAAGCAGCAGTTCAAGGTTTTGTAACTTCTTCGAATAAACAAAATTAACGCCAATTTGACTGGAACCCCAAGTTAAAGAGATATGAATATGCAAACCTTAGGGAAAAGTGTTCTTCAAACCATTTGAACAAAGGAAGGTTATGATATTCATCATTGCTTTAAAGTTTTTAGAAAGCAACACAGAACTGACCCTTATTTTTACGAGCAATAGATAACATCTTTTTAACCACTGCATAAATGTTGTCATAAAATATCGAGTTAAAAAAATTTATTACAAACTGAAGTAGAAGATTTTTGGAAAATCGTTCAGCAAATGATCAATATGGTTAGTGATCTGGCGAAACAATTTGACATCGAGAAACGGGGACATCGGATAGCGATTCTGGAATTTAGTAGCAAAGCAATTCTCTCCAAATGGTTGCGATATCCTTTCGACCATATTAAGGTAGTGAGCATGAAAGATTTTCTGGTTTGTTAAGTTCATATTTTTTCTCGGAATACTACAGGAAGTAAAAAAAATTATGTTTTTCAAAAAATTATTTTCTGCAAACTCTCATCTAAAAGGTCCTCTTAAATTTTGCTTAAGCAAGTCAATCTTTTAATTTACCCCTAGGCTAATATCATTACTTTGAAACTACAGACGAATAGTGACATGGAGAAAGTGATCCAGAACTTACCCCATATCCATGGAACAACAGATACTGGGCGAGCTCTCGGTGTAGTACTTCAAGAATTCCTACCTCAACATCGATCTGGCTCACTATTCCTAATATTTGTTATCACTGATGGCTACTACAGGTTATATCATCAATTACTAGCATTATAACAACAAGTATAGAAAGTTGGAATGTGGTTTTCAAGGTTTTCTTCAGCAGATTATAAAATATAAGGTATTAAACAGAAGAAGCATGGGAAACAAGGGAAAAGAAACAAACACAACCTTACCAACTGTTTACATGTTGTTTGTTCGATCAAATTTCTTTTTTGGAGAAGTTTAGCCAGTACTTTAACTTAATTAATTCAGAAAGTAGGCCAAATTACTTTCCGTTTTAAACACCGGTATTCCAGATTTTTTGAAATTTACTATTTTTCCCACTTTGTTGCACCAACTTGAACGATTGCAAAATACATTTAAATTAAATCATCTTTTGCTTACTTGTTTATTTCTTATCTTAATCACTAAATGATTTTTTTATCAGCGCTTACTGTAATGGTTGGAACAAGTCTTTTTTCGCAATATGAAGGATTCCGACTAGTAGGAGCGATTTTTTTCATTACTATTACCTTTATTTCTTTTCCATCTTTAAAAAAAAAAAAAACAATGGTTCTCTCTGTAGGGATACCGAGGAAGTGCAGCAGAACGTTGCAAGTCTCGTGGCTAAACCGAATGTTCAACTTTTTGTTGCAACTGCTTCAAAGCTGCATAACATGTGAATTAATTACGTTTTATTTTCAATGATTTGAATTCAAAAATTGCAGTTCTAACCAGTAGATTTCCTGAATTATTAATATTAATGAGTTTAAGATTTTTTAATCTCAAATTCACTACAATATGAAAAATTAAGATCATAACAATGAATATAATTTTTGATAATAGAAAAAGGTATCAATTGCAATATAGTACCTTGTTTTTCGTTTTTTAATTCAATATTTAATGATCATTTCAGGCAAGGCTTATTACTTCTTGTTAACAATGACTCATCACATATCGTAGCAAATACAAATTTCCTGAATATCTCACAGAATATCCTGAAACCATACAATGAATGTTTTGATTTGGGAACTTCCTTCATTCAGAAGAAGATAATTTCATCACCCACGATTATCAATAATACCTCCACAAGCACCACTACAACCAAACATCGGATAAATGGGTAAGCTGTAACTTTCAAATGAATACCATATATTTAATTGTTGCATTTATGATACGGTAATTCGTCTTTTCTCTAAAGATGCTGTTAGGAAAACATATGAGTGCTTTATTTACCCTATCTATTTTCTAATCCCTTCGTTGTAAAAGAAATGAATTATTGATTCAGCTTATACTTACTCTTCTCGTCTCCTTGTGGAACATACATTTTTGCAGGCAGAGAAATGTTCGTAAAAAGGCGAAATATTCTGAAAATTTGGGATCGAAAAGTGACAGTCTTGCTGAATTTGCTTCCCGACCAGTGCGCTTCGTTGACACATCTTCTAAGAGGACAGTTAATTTTTCTACCCTACCAACAGTATCTACGATCACAACTAGAAATATCCCGATGAAATTCGATATCAAACCAGGTAATCCAGTAATCATTCCCACAGGACTAATTTCATTTTCAAAATTTTCCATTTTTTTTGGTTTGCTTCATTAAGTAATAGCTTACAAATGATGAGAGATGTGGTTTATTGATTTTCTTTATAAAGCAACGATGGTAAATATCATTTTTGAATTTCTTGTAAAATGAACTTTATTGTGAGGAAGATTACATTGCAGGATGTCTACTGGACGTTGTGTTTTTGATGGATTTCTCTGGTGGAGTATCGGATAAACGTGACGTTTACATTGATTTCGTATCAATTCTGATCAGGTCCTTAGATCTTAACCGAACATCCGCACATGTTCGTTTTGACTTAAAATTTCCAGAGCTTCAGTTCAGTTGTTAATACTTTGATAAACTTGAAAATTTTGAACTATGAAGACTTACACCAAAAATTTAAAAGAATGGTTTTTAATTTGTTGGTTTGTACTATACTGCAAATATTTCAAAGTTTCAAAAATTCATATGATTGGAATGTAAAATGGACCTTCGGGGGCAAACTTGCCATGGTCAAAAATTGAGGGAGCCCCGAAAGAGGAGAACCTGATTGCGTCATTGACCAATTTTTAAGGTAGCTGCGATATATTATTCGGGTCCGAAACGAGCGCGCACACTATTTCATTTACGTAAGCATAGCAGGACAGAAGAGGCCATCAAGGATTTGCATCAAGCACCATCAAACGGTGGTACAACACGTACCGGAGAAGCTATTTATTACGCAATCAATGAATTCAGTGAAAAATTTGGTGCAAGGAAGGGTGCTAAAAAAATGATCATTATTTTCACCGATGGATATTCACAGGTTTTGATTCGACTTCATTTCCCATCTTGCTTTCCATTCTTCATCTCTCCCCCCCCCCCCCGTTTGCGATATCTCGATAAAACTAAAGCATATCCCTTGGCTTTGTCACTTTAACCTATTACTATCCTGTATCACCGTTAACAAGTCTTTTCACTACTTTTAATTCCCTTTTCTAAAGTTATTTATTATTTTGTATAATTTTTAATGAAGAAAGCGACCAATTTATTCGCATTTTTTCTTAGGACAACCCGGCTGAAGCAAGTCGAGCTGCCCATATCAAAGGTATAGAATTAAAAGCGGTATCTGTAGAGGATGAGAATGTACCGCCTGATACGAAACAAATTATTGCCATCACTGGAGATCCATCAGTATGTATTCTTAATTTTTGGAAAACATACGTCTACATCCCTCATCATTCCAAAATACTTGACTTTTTCATCACTAATATTTGGTCAGTGAAAAAGATTTCAAAACTGGATTCAATATTTAAGCATCTCAGCTTTCCTCTTTCAGGATACTTATTCCTCCAAAGACTTCAAGAAGCTCCAGTCTCTTTTCGGTGAGTATTCTCGACGATGCAAATTGTAGAGAACGTCATCCCTCTGTAAAAGCATAATACTTGATAGTTCTACTATAGAATGAGATAATGGAAATCAGAAACGTATTTGGGCAGCTTGCACAAGTGGCGCATGCTCCTAAAAAAAATTAATAGCAATATTAATGTGATATCAAAATTACTGTCAAGAAGATGAGAGCTATCATAAATTCATAACCCGAAAACAGCCTACATAAAACGAAAGTGGACGGAAATCAGTTTTTGTCCCCATACCCAGGTGGTTTCCGCGGGTTGAAATCTGGCACTGGAATGATACAAATGAATAAATAAATCTACAAGTAAATTAATTAAAAAATAAATAAATATACGTATATATATATATATATATATATATGTACATAACAATTTTGCAAATTTATTCGGACCCATTAATAATAAGCTATTAAGTAATTAATTGAATGTTCAACTTATGAAAACTGTTTCACTTATGCAGTAAAATGAATATCTGTACTGCGATGCACATATTTTTATGAATTATGTATTGACATATGGTTGTATGACGATGACCCGTCTCGTTTTAACAAGAATATTTCATCGAACGGGCAACAAAACGAACAAAAAATTGCGCAGAAATATTGCCACGAGTTTTACTTTGGTTTGGAGTTGGGAAAAATTTTTACATGAAATCTTAATTCTTCCCATTACAACCGGGAAAGGATGATTATATTTTGGAAAATGTGAGAAAAATGGGATTGACTCGAGAAATGGACCAAAAAAGAGAAAATCTCAGTTAAAGGAACGCTTAAATTATAAAGAAGATATCAACAATAATGATGAGGTAATACAGTTTCTGGAAACTTACACAGGGTAAATAGATGATCTCACACATGTACCATAAAATTTTACGATCATTACATCAAGTTCTCCAGAAAAAAAAAAGAACAAAATTAAAATTTTCACTCTTCTGGGGAGTCTTTTAGTAGGAAAGCTACAGAAATGTAGTATCGAACATGACAATTTCTAGCTTTCTCCCACACTAAAAAATCATAAACCACTCCTTTTTCGCATCTCCCGCCAACCGTTTTTAAGGCAATTATCCTCAAGTGTAAAGAGTTATGAGCTGATCTGCTAGAAAAAGCGTTAGCAACGAGGATGCAGCGAGGTATATCTACAACACCAATTAAATCTAAGATACTGCTACATTCAGGCATTTCTCATGAATCTGAATTCGGAGAAGTATGTCACCAAAAAATGTTTCAACAGAAGCTTGATGCAAATACTATTTTATATCTGAAATATGGAAATGTACGAGGAGGCAAACATTACAACGGCAAACATTCGCAACACAATGTTTAAGTAGAAGCAATCAGTTGGTGTCTCATGGTAATGCCTCATATTTCAATCTAATTTATGAACAGTGAAACAATAGCGGCTGTGATTGAACAAAAAATAGGAACCAAAGTCATTTTTCCCCTGTAAATTAGGAGAAATAAATATCTATGGAAATGGTGAACATGATGCAAACGAAAATGATTGCCACTGTCAAGTGGATTAAGTGCATAAGTTCGTGCACTCTCTTTGGACTTACTTCAGACAGAATTGCGGATCTCACTTCGTAATATAAAAATTTTGCAATAGCATATTCGCACAGGATTTTGGTTACGAAAATTTCGACTCCAAATTTTGCAAAAAGAAAGCGACGAACCAGCCCACTAAAGGCCTGAATAGATAGGTATGTTTGAGTCACCGAACTTTATTACCAACAAACATCTTTAGAGAAAAGTGGTAATGCATTTAACAGATGCTGTGATTCTGATTAATAACTAACTGCAGAATAATCGACCAGATTCTTTCGCTGAACTGATTCACTCACTGACGTTCTTACTAGTAATGAACTTTAGTGAAACTTTTCTTCCACACTTGAGTGAAAATCCCATATAATAAATTAGTTAGCTCTGACAACTGTAACAAAATGCTGATAATGAATGTCAACAGAACTTTATTTAGAAGTAGAACAGTAATTTCAAACCATCGTCCTCGAAAGGTCCCAATGCCTAGATTGCAAAGACGATTTGCATTGCCATCGAACATTTATGTGCTGTAAAATATCACATTCTCTTTTTCCCCGTATCATCTTACTATATCTCTCTCTCATAATTTCTCATGAATTCTAAGCTGAATTAAATTCAAAAAACTGAAAATCCTTTGGACAAGAAAAGAAGTGATATATAATAAATATTTGATTTTCAATTCTCTCTGAAAGAGATCTAACAAAGGAACATACGAACCCATGCACCAACCTGGTAATAATAGATTTAAAAACATTTAAGATTTTTGTTCTTTGCTATGCAAGAGAAATTTTATCTTTGCTCCTTTTTTCGTGTCAAATTTGAGCTGAAAAATTGGCCTTGTCAGTCGTATGATTAGTTTTCTTCAGCATTATCAATTTCAATATCACAATTGATTTGTTCTTAAAGACATCTAAATGTCGTCGAGGTCTACCAGGATTTCCATATATGCCTATTTTCGTTCCCCTCTGAAAGATCTCTTCTGGAGATTATAAATCTATACTTATGACAAAATTTTCAGGACTACCTGACCCTGTTTTCATCCCAAGAAAAATTTTGAAAGAACTAAACAGGACTATATTTTTACATAGCTGTCAAAAAAAATTAAAAGAGGCAAAAATGACCAGCGGCATGAAGTAAGGAACGAAACAAAAGTTATCAGTTACAAGGCTAACACATGATAATCCAGGAAATTTACGAAGTCAATGAGTAATGGTTGGGTTTTGTAAATTGCTTAAAAACTGCAGTGCTTGTGCTTGTGGAAACTGATTGAGAACACTGGCAGCAGTAAGAGACTGATTGAGAGCTTGATGGGCTGCTAGACCCAAAGAACTGGACATCAAGGTATTCTGGGTGAACTGATGGTGCTCCGGAATTAAAGATGTTTGCATAAACAGATCCTGACCAAGCCTTCCACCACCTCCTGATTTTCCGATAACTGGACCAAATGGATGTTGTTCTGAAGCAACAATAGCTGCTGTAGTTGAAGCAGCAGGAAAATTATTGGTTACTTGCATAGTTGATCTCTCGATATTGGCCTTCAGTGGATCATTATTCAAAGAGCTTTGTTGCTGTTCTTTCTGATGGTGATAGACAAACGACATTGAATCAGTCATTGGTGAGTTTTTTATTGACATCGCTTTCTCAAGAGCGTTGCTGACATTAGCTGTTTTGACGTTATTGTCGTGATGCTGCCAACTGAGCTGTGATTGTGCCACTTCTGCTTCAGCTCGTGCTTTCATTGCATGAGATTTCATGTGGGCATTCAAACTTTTCACCTAAAAAAAAGAAAGAAATTGTTTGGTATCCTAGATTCTCTCACGAAAGCCAAATAAAACAGGTTATAACACTGCAACAATAGTACTCGAGTTACACCAAAGCAAAATTCAGCAGATATGTTCCGATCACTCCAATCTGTCCAATGCAGTGATGGGTCTAAAAAAGTTGCACATATAAATAAGAATTTACCTTTTCGAAATATTTATCACAAAGGCGGCAATGGAAGAAGCCATCAGCTGCCGGTTGAGCACCTTTTTTAACTGGTGTTCGATGTAACTGCAAAAAAAGGAATGAAAGTGTGATAAGAAAGTAGAGGGTGATCCATCATGCATATTCGCTATTTCTGTATGTTAAAAAACGTTCATACATCATTTGCATCTCCAAGACTTTGCGAGTAGTGCAAAGAGGAACTGAGATTGCATTTGCAAATGCTCATAAGAGACAAAAATGCAAAAATGAGAACGGTTGCGCTTTTCTAAAAACATTGTCTATTACAACTTTACAACAAGGCTCAAATCGCTTATTATACGTTTTTTTTTTGGTGCAAAACTTTGAAAATTATGTCTACTTCCAAATTCAAAAAGTTTTGCTTGGTCAATTGACAAATTTGCAACTTAAAGATTTGATTGATTCAGAATTATTTATCAAATGCAGTCCGATATCTAATGTTCATAAATAACCTGAATGCTTCATTGACTATATTTTCGGAAACTGAATATAATGAAGGATCTGTAGCCGTGTTACCTGGGAAAAAGATCGAGGTGTACCGTCACTTTCCATAACCATCGGCAACGGAGCGATGGAATGCGGCAGTTCTTCAAATTTTGCCATTGAGTACTTTCGTGTTATCGCCGAACAACCTATATTCCTATCCGAGTGTCCACTCTTCGTCTTACTAAAATCAAGTAATTCAAAATTATGCTTAAAAAAACCCTAAAAACTTGCAGTTACCAATGCAGTTACCAAATCTCTGTTACCAATGAAGTAATTTTGAAAACTATGGCATATATTTATTTATTTATATTTATATATTTACATTACTGTAAAAAAATACTTGAAAATTTCTATTTATCGATTTCTATTTCTTCCCAAATCATTTCTTTTCTACTCTCTCATATTCACGACATCTTTAAATCCTAACAAAGTTTTGAGATCAAAATAAGATGCAAATATATGTAGCAATATTAACAACTTCTTAGAACCAAAGAACATTATGAAACAAGCAACTGGAAATTTTTAGCTTTACTATTTACAGATTAAAATTTTTCGATATTTTGCAATAATCACGTTATGGAAACCAAAGTAAAAACTTATTTTCTTTTAAAAGTAAAGCAGACTTAAAAACTTAGATTTACTCGGTGTCATGAGAAATCACAGACAGATCACTTCCTTCTTCTGAACCCGACAATTCACCACTTTCGACTGGTCGGTTATTCGATCTCAGATTGTAACTTTCCATCAAATCAAGCTAAACAAAATTTTAAACAAAATCAAAATTAAGTTTGCAAGGTTTTTAGTTCAAATGATTAAAGTTGATGTAGTACGAATATGAAGTAAAAAATTTTAATATATTTATATCATTTTAGCAAATCACGTCGGGAAATAGTATCCGTGATAAAACAAACAACCTGTTGCTGCATTTCCAGCAACTGGCGTTTACGTCGCAAATTTCTTAGTTTCCGATAGTCATCTGGACATGCTTTCTTCCACATGTAATAAAATTCCACACATTGCTTCACTGTTTTGTTACCCAACTGCAATGCATAAGAATCTACGACAAAAAAAAGATACAGGAAATGAAAGAACTGTAATGACGTACGTGAGATTCATGACAGTTGTTGCGTCATCTATAAATGGAATTCAATAAATTTGGAATGGGTCCGTGTTCTCCGTCCTTTACTGTATTTTCAAGAAGCTGTTTGGATTTGTTTTCGGCTGAAAACAAATTCAAAACAGCTTCGTGAATATTTCTCTTAAGAAACAAAACTTTTCTGGGGATAGTCTCATGAAGGCAGAGTTGAAATTATAGACTACAGTTAACAGTAAATATTTTGATATATTTTTGAATCTCAGCATAATATTTAAAAAAAAAGTGAAGTACAACTAACATCTGATGCTACTTGATGGAAATCCTTCTCGCCTTTGTAAATGGCATCTTGGAAGAAACTGATTTCCTCCGGTGTCCAAGAATTTGTATCAGTGTATATAGAATTGTAGATGATCGGATATTGGCTCCAGTCCAGCGTATCTAATCGCATTAAATCCAAAACAGCTTCTTGAATATTCCCCTGACAAATATGTTCATGGAAACAATGATATTTGAGGGGAAAGATGTGACAGTAAATAAAGACAAAAGAAATTTGGACTGCTGAAGAAAAGTATGCATGATCATCCGCTTGAAAACTTATGAAAATCTTATGGAAAAAGGAATTTCCATATTTTATGAGAATTTTCTAGAACAATTGCAATCTGGCAAATGCAAACCTTATTTTCCATTAGCAAATGTAGCGCCAGTTCTCTGTTCCTACCCGGCCGTGGTACCGCTTTGCTATAAGCTAATAGTTCATAAGCCTCAACTGAAAAAAGAAACATCAGCAGCAATTTGTATTATCACAAAAGAACATGTACCAAGAAACACCTGAACTGATTCTGCATGAGTTTCCTTTACTATTACAAATCAATAATGAGAATTTCATGGAAATATCTCAAGATTAAACGAAAGAAAACAAAAAAAAAATAAAACTAAACGATAAACCAAACTAAACTATAAACTAAACGATAATACCGGCAGAATCGTCCAGATGATCGATGACATTACAATCGAAGATAGCGTCATCGCGATCCGGTATAGCATCACGTTCTTCATCGCTTACCGCTCGATCAGCCCATTTTTTTACCTTTACTTGATAATCACGTCCACAGTTGATGTGTCTAAAAGTAATAAAATGATCAAAGATCAAATCTCTCACAGACAGGAAACAAATTGTGAAACCTGAGCTAGGATAAAATTCAAATGTTGAAATAGCAACCGATATAATTTAACAACAAGTGGTTTCTGACTTACGGCACTGCATCGGATTCTGGAGCAACGTAAATTTCTTCACCGAAATCGGAACATGACGAAACTTTTCTTAGAGTTTCACCATCCGATGAAGCCGATAATTTCCTAAAGGTGGTTGCCAATATTATTAACTACTATCATATAAATGTTGATTAGAAAATATGCCCAAATGGTTCACATTGACGTTTACTAATAGTGAAAAAGGGGCAAAAATAGTAAATATAATGAGTTAGCAATAAATAGAGGTCAAATAATGCTCTCCTAAATTTGTAACTGAATGAAATTAAAATTACAAGTACCTTTACAGTCTTTCAGGACTGGTTATATGAATCAGTAACAGAAAAAACAATTGGTAACTATACTGTTCAAGACTACCGTACTGGCAATATTTTGAATAAATGAAAATCAGATACATAATGAACTCTTCAATTCAACCATAAACATGTTGTACAAAAGTGTAATTTCCAAAATGAAAAAATAAATCTCGATAAATTAAATCGCTGTTTACCTAGAAGAGGGTAAGTTTGCTGCACCAGGAGATATACCCGATGAGCTAGAATTATTCCAGAAGATGTCCGATTCTTTTCGTAAGGCTTCTAAATGTAGTAATCTGGCCTGTAAAGAATATGTTATGAACAAATTCAAATAACATGTAGGTTCACAACAATAAAAAAATCCAAGGAATGGTTTCAATTTCTCAAGTAATAAGGATTCATCACATTAACCAAATTGCATTTGGTTTAATAAATTGAAACAATTACGACTTTTCGTTCGTTTTCTAAGCCAACAACTCTTTGGATAAAAACAAATATTTATAATAACCCTGAAGACCAAATTGCATTCCATTTCCTACTGCTTTTTTAAATAAAAAGGATAAACATACATCGAAAAATTGAGATGAATAGCATAATCCATTTTTCCGAATCGGTGTTCGCATTTCCTGTTGCTGCTCGTCTGCAGAACCTTCTTTCACCGGTTTCAATGTTGATCTAATGCAGCGTCGTAAACGTTTTCCAATTGGTTCCTCGTCTGCTTCACTTTCATGAAGACTTTCGCTAGCTGTAATCCGAACAGACTTTGTCATCGAATAAAGGTAATGAGCTTTTCAAAGCTCAGGTTGCTTCGAGCGCAATAAGGGAAATGTGTATTTCGTCGTTGCTGATTGCGTGCAATGGTTAGCTTCATGACTATGAAGTAACCCAAAATATAGCAATCCTATCAATTTCTGTTCAAAAATGTGACGATCGTTTTATGTATTTTATTTGGATCTAACAATTCCTATTTTATACTGCGTCGAATCAAAATGGTAATTGCAAAAAAAAGGCGAAAAAATGTCTTGAAGTGATTCATTTTTTCTCTTTTTCAGTAATAAACGCTTAAACACAACTAATCTTTAGTATCTTTTCACCAAGCTCACTTAGATAGCACTTAAGATAATACATGAGAACTAAGATGTTAAAAGCTGAAAATGGGAGGGTCATCAGTGAAAAAGGGAGCGTGGTATTTTCAGAAGACCTTATAAAGAAGGACAAGAAGAAATTAGATAATTACGATTTGGAATGAAAAATGGAATGAACTCCAACATTTTGAAATTCTCACCTTCTGCTTTGTCAAAATTATTTCCTTGTGATGGTCGCAACATGGTGATCTACAAACGATAGCATTAGAAGTACGAACTGCATATTTCAAAGTTCAGAACTAATTTTAAGCTATTTTCAAGTAACGAGATCAGAAGTCTACCGGCAAGGTTTGTAGTGAAAAAGGAGGAAGGTCAAATATAACACTAACAATGCAACTGACATCTTCGTTACTCAAGAATTAAACGTTTACATGTAAATTGCATGTACAGGCCTAATCTTACAAGAAGTTAATAATACCCGAGAAATCTGGGTAGTGCACGTAAAAAAAATAAACACCTTTGATGGAGAAGTCTGTGAAATTTTCCAAAATAGGCCGGAGCCTCGCCTCATTGGACTTAACATGGGTGGTGGTGTGTATGGTACGAAGCATTTCAAATTTGTGACAGGTTCATAAAATCGCGGCGATCGAAGTTGGGATGCGAATTGTTTCAGGGACATCGCTGCAGCTGCGATTGTGTTACCGCCACCACCGAAACCATGCACGTTTCCAAATGTTGTTACACTAACTGAACGGCCCTTCGGTAATGTTCTTTCACTTCTTGTCCTGCAATTTTGAGCTTTTCAAAATATAAATTACTTTCAAGAGGCTTGAATCTGAATTCCAATTTTAATGGTCACTCAGTATCCCATCTGTTACTATAGGTATATCAAAAATATAGCGCATCAACTTACTAACTACAAAATAGGACTTGGAAACTATCAAATTATATCATTGTTTTATTAATCGGTTAGTGGATAACATACTTGAATGAATATATCATAAAAATCTTACTAAGAATGCTAAACCAATACATGCTTGTACTCTTTTTTATAATTGAGAGCATGGACTAACAGGTAGACTAAAGAGTGTGTAGTTCAAGTGGAGTCTCAATATCAACAAAGACGAATATCTTAATAAGTACTTCGCCTTTTTCCCGAAATATTAATACTGCTATTAACTATTTGGAATATTGTTCAAAAAGAATTCTGCTTTTCAGACTTGGACTCATAAGAACATGGATAAAGTTTATTATTAAACTTACTCATATGGCGTTCTGGATCCCACTGACGATTTTTGGTCAGCAATCGTTATTAATTGGCATATATTCTCCGGTTTCCCCTTACTCTTCCGATTCAGCTGAACTGGACAAACATTGCAGTAACCACCAGCAATACTACTATTACTTCGTGATGTTGCAGTTGGCTTCAGTGTTGTTGTCGAGGAATTACACATTGAGATTACCACCCCATCACTTAACGCCATTCTAGTATGTATCGAATTTAGCAATTTTTTTTTTTTGAAGTTTTCAGCAAAATTAGTCTCTTTCAAATCCTAATTCATAAACATTTCCAAAATCTAAAATAGATTGAGTTACTTGTCTCCAGATAATTTGTCTCCATTTCTTTTCTCTCATCTATAGACTTCTATCAAAAAGGCAAGAAAGTAGAATATGATTCACTTTACGTGAAGAGCGTGATGACTAAGAATCGACAGTAGTCGATGAATTGTACTTAACCAATCAATATATCCAAACTTGGAAACTTGAAGCTTATCGCTGAATGAATTTCTAGTTAAAGTATACACGAAAGACTTTTTTTGAAAACCAATTAGAAATTTTTTTTCATATGAAAACTAAACGGATGGCACCTATGATGCAGCGACTCAGCACTTTCTCGTTGCAATTTTTCGGGGTCACAGCCGTATGTAGTAGTAGCCATTTCTGATACATCAATCTCCAACGGTCCCAAAATCTCACCATCATTTTGCTTCACCATATCCTACAACGTAACTAATAAATAAATTAACTGGATGTTGGACATTTAATCATCCTGAAGAATATACAGAATGAATTTTATACTTCAAACTGTTTCTAAAAAGGTTCCTAGGAGAGTAAGAAATATGGCTCAGTTGAATATTTTCTCGCTCTTTCCACATTCTGAATCCCTTTCATTTATGGGGTAAAGAAATCTTAACAAAAAAATTATTGTATTGATCAAAAGTTAATCTTTCTTTTCAGTAACTGCGGGAACATTAAATTCCATCAACTGGTTTATTTCTGTGGAAGCTAAGCGGTATGATTCCTATCTGAAGAAATTTACAAAAACCTTATGAAATTTAAAAAGGAAAAAACAATGCAATGGAACTGACGTATGCTACAATGCACTTTGAAGTGTTTGTCAATGTTCTGTACAAGGAACACTTTTTTAACAGAAAAAGTCCACTAAAAGAAAACAAATTTTTTCGCACAAATTTGATGAAAAACTATCAGATCAATTTTCTTCTTCATACAGATCTTTCTGTCATTTTTATCACCCGTTTCTTCAGTGAATACAGCTAATTAATGATCTGTGCAGGTGCATCAGTAACTTAGGGTAGATAATTTCATAATAATTTCAATAATTTTTCGTGTTCTGGCCATCTGTAATATTACGACCTTTGCGCCTCCAGCACTTCAAATCAGCCAACATTCAGTGGGAAGGATGTGTACAAACTCTTCTCTAAGAACCATTAAGAAGTCTATAAAGAAGGGAAAATATAGTAAAGTGACTGTTGGAAATATCATCAACAAGTACATCATTCTGATCACTGCTCATACGTCATTAACAAGCACAAAATGGACAACTTGTTCCTAGTATCAAAGTTATTTGCTGATCATTGCAATTTATTTTCAGATTACATGAAAAGCTGTAGACAGCAGATAACTGGTTCAAGGAACGTCGCTGCTGATCTAGCTATTGTCATCTGATTGATTCAGTACATGAAACGATTTGTCGTACTGCCGAGAGCGCGAATATAAAACATAAATTCTTGCTCAGAGATTACTCGATCAATTCCCTTCATACAGAATTTCTTTGTGTATCGGAATAACCCAATCATACACTAATCACTTAACATTGTGAACAGATACAACTAATCCAGTCGTAGCAAATTTTTCTTGAAGGAAAAGTTATCGGTTGACGATTTCTCGATGTTTACCAAAGAGAATATTTCAGTCATTTGAAGTAATATTAAGAAAATTTTTCGGGAAAACAAAAACTGATAAGTCGAAGTCATGGAGATGTAAGAATGGCCTAAACTTACTTAAAAGTATCAAACTGAATTGATATTATTTGCGAGAAATCATCAGAAGGCACTAAATCAACACAGTGAATTCCACATTCTTCCATAGCAGTAAATTATTTATTTCAAAAATAACCCACTACGTGGAAATACACCACTTAACGAGATTACATATTTGTCCACTGATTCTACACTCTTCACCCACAACTAATTTATGCATCTTACCCATTGGCTCCATATTTGGACATCTTTACCCGTTGGTTTCGTCCTAAGCATCTGTACCCAAACTGTTTAAGGCAAAATTTTTCTTATACTTTCTTTTTTTAAATATATATTCAATAACAGATATATCTTAACCTCTTCTTGTAAACTTCTCCTGTGGGGTTTATGGTATCAAGATATCCATTCTTTTTTTAATTTTACAGAGGATTCTATTTTAAAAATTCTAGAAAAAGAATGTTGCAAGAGTTCAAGAAAATAAAAAAGAAGGGTAAATTGGCTTACTTGTTGTTTCGCACTTCCCAAATTAATTTAAAGTTTGTTCAAGAAATTTGGCGGAATAATTCATTACTGTGCTCAAGGCAATTAATCAAAATAACTTACAGAAACAATAGTTGATGGTCCCGAAACAAATGTTTCTCTAACTTCGCCATAAGACATTTGGAAAATACCACTTGTAGATCCAATATCACAGTTATAAATATCGTCGTACGTTCCTTTGTTTATCTATAAATACTATTGTTCATCCATTTGTTGCTTTAAAAATTATATGCAAGCAAATAATTTTGGCATGAAAAGTTTAGCATGGCTGCATATAAGTTGTCCAAATTTAATGCGATGTTTAAAGATTAGAAGTTTAGTGGTTCACAGGAGATATATAATGCAATGAAATGTTAATTAATGAATTCTGTTTAGTATATAACAGATATCGGAAATATATTCAGAATTGTGTTTGGAAGTTTACAAATTCAAATGATATTATCTTTTTTTAAACATGAGTATCCATCATAAATCTAATCTGCTTCATGAAGTCTTGATCCATTTGAGTCAGAATCCTTACAACCCTTCTTGCCTAACCTATTCGGCTTTTCTTTTTTCTTCTTTTCTTGATATCTTCAAACTTATGAATTTTTTCTTTTTCGCGAAAAAAGATAAGGAAGAAATAAGGGACTGTAGTCAGTAGGAGCCAGTGAGTATTGTCAAATGAATGGAAAAAACGGAAGAATAAAAGTGCTCATTTTTGCTGCAAATGACTTCGATTAATACTGGCGACCAAAAATCAAGTATGACAATATTCGTCTTACTACTGCTTAGTTTCTGTTAATTTTATTTCCATCCAAGCAACTTGAAATTAACATTAACGCTATTGTCGCATCCTTAATTCATTGCAAAATAAGGAGCTTTGTATATTCAGAATTCAAAATGTACTCTTTCAGGAATCTATTTCTAAGGAATGAACATTTCAGAAGAGCCGAGAGCGACAGCATGTTCATCAAAATGTATGAGGCACACATTACAGTAATGGCGCTTTCTCAGTAACAATATACACTGATCAATGATTAGTTAATAGTTCACTGAAAGAATGAATATCAAGTGTTTTTGCGGCTTCCCAATCGATTTGACATTTTTATTTAACGAAAACAAGCTTGATGTATTACTAACATGAAGATGTTCATGCCACCCTCACTAACTGTGCTCGAAATTCAAGAAGTTCTGAGGAATAAGAATTCTGTATTTTTGCCGTAGGAAATCGATACTAAAGCCTTTCATTTGGAATGCTGTTAACGAATTCAATGGATACTTTCCAGTTTATCAGGTCATCCCAAATATCTGCACCAAAATCATATTAGAGGTTTTTAACTGGCAAAGCCTTCAATCTGTTTACAACAGCGTATCCGCAAGCATATGCACTTTCTATCCAAAACAATTTTATTCCTTCATGCTTCCCCACCTAATTCCGGTACTAATAAAATATTGCTACAGGCCTAAAGATCCCAAGCACGACCCATTTGCACAGCAGCTAATGCATGCATAGGGAAAAAAAGCACCCTCATTATTTTTCTCTCTCGATTTTTCTATTCTTTCCTTTCTGGACCACAGCACCGCGAGAATCAAATGTTTCATCATTTTTACTGAATCACACTTAAAGAAACCGACCGAAATGAAATAAAATCAAGTAGTTGCTTTCATCCAAACAGTAATTGCAACGGTTGATTTATCTTAGGAACTTTGAAAATTGCACAAATGAATTGATTTTATAAAACAGTTCCTCTGAGAAAAACCATTTTGCTTTCTTTAAGACGAATGAGGAGAAGTTTTCAGCATGATGAACTCCATAGATGCGCAATGTCTTTTGAAAACTTGTTTTTTAAACAGCGGTTATTCTGGTGTGGTAATCATACCTGCTGGAGAGTAAAAAGAAAAGAAAAAGTAGCAAAGTTCCCGAAAGCAGAGGTTACTAAGATGGATGTAACAGAAGAACAGTTATATTTATTTAAAGTAATAGCAGTTCTTATATTTTCAGGAAGGTGGAAACAATGAGATATAAAGCCAATCATTTCTCTTTCTTACAAGTAATGGCAAAATAAGTGCCACTATAGCTGCACAATTCCGCTATTAAATAAACCACTTTCAAGACTGTTCGATCGTACAGCGATGTCAATTATTATTGTATTGCATAAAACTCTAAGAGAAGTGTTTGTTAAGAATTGAAAGAGACAGTTTTTCGGAAAATACCGAGTAAGTTGACAGTTTAGAGGTAGATTTTGGTTATCTTAACATTTCCAAAGTGGCTTAGAAGAGCTTTAACTGCAAAAGTAGAATAAAGTTACTTCAACTCAGACTGAAATTGGATATGACAATCTCCAAAAACACCACCTTGATTTACAGGAAGAGTCTGATTATAGACCACTTCTCCAATGCAACAACCAAGACAGCAATGTTCAAATACGTCTAAGTTTAAATCCAGGTGATTATCGGACCTCCCGCAATATTACTCTCGTATTTAAATTAAAGATGGAGAGGAATGGGATGGACAGAGAAAAAGAATATGAGATAGAGACAGAAAGAGGACATGGAAGGTCAGAAACGTGGCTCTTGCAAAAATGAAAGTCTCTCGCTGCTGCAAGTGCAGGAAAGGACGAAATGTTTAGAAATCGAAACGATCGTCCCAGTGGAGAGAATGCCCCTCTAAAATGAGATTACAGCTAAAAAGAGGAGGATTAGACAGTGGGACGAGGACTAGAAGGGAAGGTCTATTTTTAGTAAGGTTATCGTTCACTTGCCTAAAGACCTCACAAAATGAATTTTGCAAAAGTCTCTCAGTGTACTGCTACTGCTAAAAGCCATTGGACAATTAAGGATGAATGAAAAAGGGCGCAAAAGGGAAAGAATGAAGAAAAGCAGCAGTTTTTTACTTGGAATGTGAAAGGGAAGGTTTCGCACAAAACGAGACAGGAAAAAAGACATGAGGCCAGTATCTATAAGGCACTAAATAGAGCCACAAAAGATCTCGAGAAAGTCTCGGCAAATATCCCACCATGGATCAGATCTGAAGAATATAATATTGTATGGATCGAGAAAGTCCTACAGAGAGGAAAGACGGCTCGATTCTACAAACCACACAGAAAGAGTAGGATCATAAATAGCCAAAAAAAGGTATCGTGTAGTTGGATAGTTCTCATCCTTCATATTCCCACGACTGGGAAAAAGTGGAAAAGTGGCAGATGAAACAGTGAGACAGAGCCACAGCAGAGAAAGAGGAAGAAGGAAGGAAGGAAGGAAGGAAGGAAGGAAGGAAGGAAGGAAGGGAGGAAGGAAGGAAGGAAAGAAAGAAGGAAGAGAAGGGAGTGAAGCGCAAAAGTGACAAAAGTTATCGATATAAAACGGTTAACAGTTAACTGCTTTAGCAAGATTCTCTTGTAGCGTCACCAATGACAATGGTCATTTGACAGTAATGGTAGGATCTCAATGACCGGAGGGCCCGATATCCATCTTTCCTACATATCCATCATACCATTGAATCAGCTATGAAAACAAATAGTACAACTGGGCTATCCAAGAAGGAGCAATTGGAACAGAGATAGGATAGGTTGAGGAAGTGCAGTCAGAAAGAAAGTAAAGGAGGAGGATTTCAGAAAATTCAAATAAAGAAAATGAATGGAGAAGAAACTGATGACACTCATCCTAAACGTACCATTTAGCCAATAACTTCTAAGAAACAACTTGTTAAAAGTAAACAGCTTATCTCAAAATCATGCTAACAGCTGGAAAAAGAAAAATTCTATTTCAAAATGAAGTAGGTAGAAAGATTGTGTTAAGAAGATTTCGTGCTTAGTGCACATGAAGCGGATGTTAATCGAAGTCTCAGTGTTAGGATATGTACTCAAACAATGAATACGACTTAGCAAAGAATATGAGCACCTTTTTGAATGAAATAAATTATATTGATGTAAAGCTTAACGGTATTGTAAGCAGGCTTCTATCAAATTCAGTCATTTTATGTTTTGTAAGTAAGTTAAATTACTCGCACATCCAAAACGATTCCATAAAGATTCGATTTTTTTATGTGTTTTAATATTTTAAACCTCATACTTCAAAACCTGAGATTTTCGAATTCCATTGATACCGAGGTTTTTCATACCATGTGATGTCCATTCACTTCATTTAGTCTATTATAGTCATAACAAAACCACAAGTAGACTATTTCTAATTTCTATTATTTTAAAAATCTAAAAAGAACGAAAAAATGAAATGAAAAAAAATGAGACAAATCCTGAACGATTGCTTTGGCTAGACAGCCGAAGGGATGGTAAGTTGCCTGAAATTGCACTGAAATAGTGGAAAAAAAAGAAAAATTATATGAAACTCTAAAAAACAATGAAATATTTTGATTAGGACAATAATTGTGGAAGGAAGTCAAAGGTCAACTAATGATCTCGCAGTATTTCCTAGAGAAATATTAATGTAAATTGCGATGAGAAGCAAAATTTGAAGATGAAATAGAAATGAAAAAGTGCAGTAATTTTATCAACTGTTTAATCATTCGTCAGTCAATTGTAGAACGAAGGAGACAAGTTGAGCATTAAAAGTGCAATTGAGGGATTTATGCATTTGGACACGATATGATACCATGTTATGTATTTCCTATGTTACGTTAGATAAAACAGGTGACAAACAAAATTCTTTTTTTTTTCTTTCGATCATTTACGAGTACCATCTCTGAGTCATATTTTACATTTACTCCATCCATGGATCAATATTCATTGCTACATGTCATGCAATGCCATATTCTGATACAAGATTTTATTATAGACAACACCCTAATACGATTAAAAGTTAAACCACATGTCTGGTATATAGAATAACCTAAATGCTCTTCCACAAGATATCAAAAGCAGTCAATGAAATAAAAATCATTTGGAAGTTAATAGCAGCTAAGTTGTGATTAATCTTGCAAATGCCTATAAACAAGGTAGCACAGACTTGCACATCTGTACAAACTGATGAAATGTCATGTGCCGTTATTTGGGATTTTTGATTTCGTAAAGAAACGGAGAACAATTGACAAGCGATGAATGAGAGTCAAAGTATAGTAATACTTAAGATTACGTGGCATTTCTATACATCATTACTCTTTAGTTTTAACATTGATAACATTATTTTAATTCTGTACATTGTTTACATTAATGCAATGAGAAATGGTGACATACAGCCAAATTTGATGGATCATGGACGTGGTTTCTACATAAATTGTTACTTACAAAAAAGTTACTGTTAAGATTTCAGTTGGGTATGATACTTTTTCCGCCTTCCATTTTTAACTCAAAAATAATTTTATATCAAGTATTAGTGGCTATTTGAGCATAATACTTCAAGATCTTCCAGCACTGTTGGTTGTTATATTAATTTAAACATATATAATATTATAAGAGAATAGAGTTTCAGGTATCATGCAAAGAGTATATAATCTCAAGATTATTTATCAAATTAAACTGATAAAAAATTCTTTTAAGCATCATTTTTCTTGTTTCTTATTATCAAATTGAGCTATACTTTTCCTTCTATAATCATCAAATTTACGTATATATTTCTGAGCATTAAATTTTGAAAGAGTGAAATAGATGGGATTATCTGGGTGATTGAACAACTTGCTTTTTCTTTTTCCATTTACATTTTTGGTCTGTATCTTCTCGTGATAATGATTAAGCAGACAGAGTGATAAAGAAACAAGATAGTATTCAAACAGTAGAACCTGATTATTTTGAAACTGTCCTTTGAGCAGAATATCAGTGGGATGAATGTCGTGGGATTCTGAAGATGAACTATCATTGAACGAATTATCCAATTTATCATTGTAAATGGCGTTCATTTCCGTATTATAAAACATTTCATCCAGTTGGCATCAATCTATAATATAAACAGTTGGTAATGTTATCAGATGAAAATGAATATTAAAGAGATTTCACGCGAGAGAGCAGATGAAGTATTATTGGTACAATATAGCATAAACCTTCTGTAAAGTTGTACTAAATTTACTTTATTTTACTTCATGTTATATATTTCATCAGCTCATCTATCTTTCTCAACATACTGAAATTCTTTCGCAATCGTTCCATAAGAGAGTAAGGTCTAAAAAAATGAAGAATGCAGGGGAACAAAATGAAGAGAATTGTATGATTCGAATTAAGTGACAGTGAGCGAAATTTATTAAAAATGCAAGACCAAAATCCAACCATCATTAAAAAAATGCGTTCGGA